GGGGGGGGGGGGGGGGGGGGGGGGGGGGGGGGGGGGGGGGGGGGGGGGGGGGGGGGGGGGGGGCGTTGGTATGACCCACTGGGGGTCCACCAGAGGGATTTCCATTGAAGCCATAGTTGTTACGAAATTGATGGTTAGACTACGCCAGCAGTATTAGACGTAATGCACGTTAGTCGGTGCAGGGTTTTGGGAGGCCTTGATTAGATATATTGGGAGTACTCGTGGCATAGTATGACTGGTAAGATCTTCAGTACGTACGTACGGAAATTGCAGTGATGAGATGCGGAGGAATCAGAGAGATCCATTTGGTAGTTTGAGCGTGATGAGCGTGACGCGTGCTTGATGCCGTGACAGATTTACGAGCACGAGCACGCCCCCGAAGAATACAATACGTTTTCCTACACGTCCCTCCCCTACCACGGCCCGTCATGGCCCAGCTGCTCTACACTCCCAACACACAGAACTAAGCCACCCGAATTATCGATCAACCTTGCGGTATAAATGCGTTGGGGTTAGGGCCCTATCATTGTGACCGACGTGGAAGCTGCGATTAATGGGAAAGGGGCGGGTAGCATGACAAATAGGACGTCCAACTTAGGGGGGCACGAGTAGAGAGCGACCTTCATGTGATTTTCCCTGAGTAGTGGATTACAACAGTACGCTATCTGACAGCTCTCTTAACATTTGTGCTCGTCCCACCCGATGCAATATCAGCTGTTCAATGTTGACCTAAGCTTGTGGCAAATTCGACAAGCCGGTGTCAACACTACACTACGCACAGTTGGCGTTTTTGACGGAGGAGTGTGTTTAAATGTGTTGGACATTGATGACAGATTTAGGGTAATGGTCACCAGCGTAGCGATATTCATCGACGTTTACAAGAACGTGCTTGGATTGTGAATGAAGCCGACATAGCCCTAGGATGACGTTGGTGGTCGTCAGCGTGGACTGCTGTGATGTGATGAAAGTGGTTTCGAAGCTGACCGGCAATGATCGGAGCCGATGAAAATCCGCAGCAGTTCCGTCAAAATGGATCAACACATACCACAGTCCATGGGCGTTGACTAATAATGTGGAGCTAATTCTTATCAGCGTTGACCGCAATGCGATAACAATGTATAGGAAGCTCACCGGCGTTGATCAAAGTCGACGATTGCCCACCGCATAGCCGTCAATATTGATGACAATTGATCACAGTCGGTCGGCGTTGACAACCGTGTAGTCTATGAATTTGTAGTCAGCGTTGACCGTAATATGATTAGAGTCGTGTCGCAGCTGACCGGAATGGATCGGAGCCGATGAAAGTCCGTAGAAATTCCGGGAACGGCATTTACCACAGCAGTCGCTGGGCGTTGACCATGTGTACCTAATAATTATTAGCGTTGACCGTAATGCGATAGCAACATATGGGAAGATCACCGGCGTTGATCAAAATCGATGAAAGCCCCCCGCATTGCGGTCAACGTTGGTGACAATTGATCAAAGTCTGTCGGCGTTGACAACCGTGTATGCATTTGTCCTCAGGGTTGACCGTGATGTGATGAAAGAACTGTCGAAGCTGACCGGAATGGATCGGAGCCGATGGAAGTCCACTGCAATTCCGTCAAAGTTGATCGGAGCCGATGAACTTCCGTAGCAGTTCCGTCCAAGTTGATCAACATTTACCAAAGTCCATGGGCGTTGGCCAATGTGTATCTTATTGTTATCAGCGTTGACCGTAGTGCGATAACAATGTATGGCAAGCCCACCGGCGTTGATCAAAGTCGATGCAAGCCCACCGCATTGCGGTCGACATTGATGACAATTCATCACATTTTCATCACATTCTCGTGACGTCCGTATATGTGTTGCGACCTCATGTCAACGGCGACGATAATGTCATCAAAGTACCCGGAACCGCGCGTACAGGCAATACACGTATCCACACGTCACTTCTTATGGATGTTCATCAATATCGACCACTATTGGTAAACGTTAGTGCTACTCTCATACCAACTTTGGTCACAAGAGTCATGGAAGTTTTCATGACAACCACCATGAAAGTTGCCATCGCAATTCAACGTTGATCACACGAGAAAGTGGCCATCGCATTCCGTGCGACTTTCAACAAATTTCATCGTGTTGTATAAGATTTCGATGCAAGTCGCATCAACATGGATCAGAGCCAACAAAGTTGATCACCGTTGATCGCATTTCTATACAACTGCGATCGCACTTTCGTCAACTATCGTCGAGGTTTCATCCCAACTTGCGTCCAAAGGCATCCATACTTATCAATGTTCGCCAGCTGTGACCAAAATTGACCCCAAGTTGCCATGCGAATTTCATGAAAATGTCAGATGGTGTATATTCCCCGGTCGGAGTGCGCTGCCTATACTTACTGCCCCAAGGGTTCCTCGGTGCCCCCCTCATTGTGGGAACCTCATCGGGGAAGGAAACTGTCAAAGTCCTCTGATGCACCGATCAGCTGGTACGGATGCATACGTAGCCGAGTGGTGTTTTATCATCTACTACAGTAGTAGCAGGTCGCTTCCGGCCCTGTAAGCCTACGCTTAACGGGCCCTGCCAGATAAATCGGATATTCCTTCCCCACCTCTCGTCGTGCGAATCACGTCGGCTGTTTTCTTCCCGCTCCCGTCGATATAGAGCGTACGTCCTGCAGGACATCAAGACATTATGTCCACTCACCGGCAAACATTCATTGTCGAATGGCAGAGAAGTTGCCTTCCGACCGTTCTCCCGTTGTTGCCGGTGTACAGCCTTAACGTTTCGGGGTAGAGTCAGCGTACACTCACCAGCAATATTTTTCATTTGGCACATCAAATAGAAATAATGTTTATCATGAGTATAAAATATTACTTCAGAAGTATTATTTAATTAACGTTTTGAATATTGAGAGGCTTTTCGAGCTTTTTTCAAACCATATTTACGACGTTCCTTAATTCGCGCGTCACGTTTTAAAAAGCCTTCAAATTTTAGGATGTGTTCCGCCCCGCTTTCATACGTACTATCCAAACCAAAGAATTAATAAATTCAAATCACACACCCAATAATGATACCAGTTTTTTTTTATCTGGGAAACACCAAGACCTCTGCCGGAGCATAGTCTATGGTGGAGGTACCGTAGAGAGGCCACCGAAACCCGCCGTGGGCGTGTTCACGCACACAAAAACAAAAGTTGCCCAGCTGGCGTTCGTGCTTATCCGTAGGTCAGAAACGACCGTCTGCCACCCAGGACAAGTGCTTGTGAATGTGAAAATATATTATTGTGTCTGTCACCTTCCTCCCCGTCTCGCCGGGCAAGCGCTCGTTAACATAGCTGGCACACACCTAGTTAGTAGTTCTTCCTTCAGCAGTAGCTCTAAGAAGAAGATGAAGATTGACGGTCACGACGAGGGCCCACAGAAAAGCACCTGGTGCAAGTTTCCGACCAGATGGCCCGGTTCTCGCGACAACAAGAAGGGAGCTTGCTCAGCGAGCGCGACAAACGATGGGCAAACCATTCTGTTGAGCAACCACTCCATGGCAGCAGTGCTTGGAAAGGCTGTGCCATGCCGAACCGGGTGTGTGCATAAAAAGCAAGGGCGCCAAGCCATCAGCTGCTTCGGGCGAGGGGCGCCATACTCCGGGGCATATGACGTACCGGATCATATTATTCCACGGGAAAATAAAATCTGTATTGAAATATCAGAAGACAACCCAGGAACAACGCCTAGAACGTACGTACTACCCGACACGCCGCGCCCACCAATTGCCCAAGCGCCAAACGGCCCACGGGTAAGCGTGGCGCTCCCGCCGAGCCATGTGCTGGCACGGCCCCGAACGCAGGGGCAGCGGGTAGCACAACGGAAGGGCAAGCAGGGAACCGTCAGCGACGCTCCGCCGTCTCAAGAAATGTTTCACTTTCCTTCCTGCACCAAACCTCAGAGGGAGAGGGTGCCTCACTGCGGTCTCTGTACACACTTCGCATAGCTGCCCCCCCCCCACACCGCGGCCCCCCCCACACGCGCAGCAAGCTTAGCAGCAGTACAATAGCCACCACCGCCGAGGACCCAAGGCCATTCTTCATTCCGCAAAACGAACGCAAAAACTTACGCACTCGTACGCCGTTCGGGCAGAGGCCGAGCCGCTCGCGCCGCTGCAGCGCACACACAAGCCTATTTTGATATTTACCCTACAACCACGATGACATCCGAGCTACATAGACAAAGCACAAAAACAACAAGAGAGACCGTCAAGAGTAACGTCAGACACGGGAAACAATAAGACACCACCTTCTCTCTGAGGGTTCAAGCCAAGTCACGGCCTCTCCCCTGCGGCGCCTTTTCCCGTTTCCACACCCCCTGCAACTAATTTTCCATGCATCACGCAGAAAAGACGCGTCCTGTTAGTTCGCCGCTGGGGGAGCGCTTTGCGGGTTGTTCCGCAAGAGGTAGTTTCCCAACCATTCCACCGGGTTCGGCGGGCTGCGCGTGGCGAGGAATACCACAGATTCGGTTGCACGGGAGAGGACACGCGGGAAAAAGGTTAGGCCTCACTCCTTTGTTGCTTTTGGTTTTCCAACAAACCAAAGCATTTTCGCCCAAAGGCATTGTTTTTGAGACGAGGCATCAAATGCAAACTCAGAGGAGGGAAAAACGTGCTGAACCATGCCTCACTATACTTTGGCCAAAATGGCAGCGAAGGCCAAATACGCAGAGGGAGACATTGACGCAATCGAGAGTGTGTGCAAAAAATTGCAGCCGGAATCTAATTCTCGCCCAGGCGGGAGGGCTTCTCGACGTAATTGGCGGGCTGCAAATAAAAAATGATTGGATTTGATGCCCTCACTGCCGCTGCTGCCCACCCGGGTTGCAGGTAGGTCACACCAAAGCACAAAACATATTACCACGGGGTTCCGTGGAACTAGGCGGTACCCCGTGTGCGCCTCCGTGATCTTAAGCCCTATGACTTCGTTTGGCCAACACCTTTTCACCGCTGAACCCAACACTCAGAACGCTACTTGATATCAAAACAGCAGGATACCCCAAGCATGTTGACGCTCTACACGCCCAGGACGTTTGATACACCATGGTTTCGCCGTGAACCTGGCAAATGCCGTGCCACGACAAAGTGAAAGAGCTGTTGATTCAAGCACGTCTCGCAGCTCTTAGCACCAACCTCGACACGGCAACGAACCTTCGGGGGAGTTGGCGAACTCGCTCGGGACTTGGCCACAGTGGATTACACCCAGGAATAGATAGCATTGAGGGGTTGGGGCACATGTTGGATGGCCATGACAAGGGTCTCTCCAGTGAAGCAAAGCACTGTGATCCCCCATCTCGAGTAATCATGCTCTGTACATTTACCGCCAACTTTTTTGAGAAATACCCAGCGAGATCCTCCCACATTGAGCTTCAGCGCTCAATACACTGTCAAAAGACGTCCCCATCAAAAACTGTGATGGGACCACACCGTAGAGACGTCCACAAGGTTTCTTTTGGAGGGTTGGCCTGATGTTGGATCTCCACTACAGCCGAAGCCGTTGAAGAATAACGAGCAACATCCCTACGTAGCAAAGAGGCCGGCGTGGGGGCTCCACGCCATCGGGTGCTTGGTCACAAAAGAAACGCGAAAATAACACAACTGTGGTAGTAACCTGCAACGCGGAGGTGCCCTCAGCCCGCCACTCTGTCCATCCCCACCTGGACAACAAAAAATACTATTTTTATCCAAGAGAGTCACGTGAAAGATTCATCACACCCACCTCCCTACATGTCCGACACACCAACAAGCCACACTCACCGTTCCTTCACAAGCGCGGACATGCCGTCGAGCAGGATGGGCACCACGGTCTGGTCGAGGTACGCGCGGATCGGCAGGGACTGCACGTTGAGGCGGTCCTGCAAGCTCTCCGTGGCCTTCTGTTCCGCCGACTCCACCTCCGCTACGGCCACCGACGGGCCCCCCTGCTGAGGCACCAGGCTAGCCTCCGACGCCGGCGCTGACAAAAAGAATCAATATTTAGTTAACACAACGTGCATCCGTTCCAGATTAGTACAACCAACACACGGGGCATACCAAGTACCGGTAGCAGCCGATGCCGTCTGATTCGACCCATTTTTCAATCGCAAGAGGTCGTTGTTTCCTCGCTTGCAATCGACTGCCACGGCTCAAGATCTTGTGCGCCGCGTGCCCCTGTAACCTCACGAAGCCTAACGTTCTAGCATCGGGAGCAAGCACGAGTTCGCCACGTTGTGTCGCTGTCGAGGGCTCTACTGATCACATCCAACGGCACGACGGCAGATCGCATGAGGGACACCCGTTACCCATCGTACGACTGGTCGCTCTTGCTCAAAGCGGGACGTGTCGACGGCTTAGACTGCCCGCATAGAAAATGTGTGCTGTGGCCGGAAGCTGGATATCTTTCGGTTCTACATCCCCTTTTGTGCGAAGTGTTTGCCAATATAACTCCGCCGTAAAGTGGCGTGTGCAAGGGAAGGCTGCTGTGTACAACAGATGGAGGCAGGAAGGTGCACCGATTGTGTGCTCGCAGTAGATAAGGTAGACATCATATAGCCGGCTAATAACCGTCGAAGCGGTACAAGGGGCACATAACAGCTGCAGGGCATTCTGTCTGCTGCTGGCTGCGTTCGGCTGTGACGCCCGTGCAACACGAATACATTTGTTCCACCGCTCTGGGCGCGTCTCCGCATTCCAAGAGAGCCAACCCAGCGTACACACTACACACGTGTGGCGTCTAGAACGACACCTCGTTTCGTCTGCAATACCAGACCCACAACCTGCACCTCCCGCACGCTGCGTAAGGAAAAGGTGCTGAGATAATCCAGCACGCCTAGCAGCAGGAGTTAGCTAACTGACATGTGCGGGGGGGGG